TAATTCTGTATTTTTCTTTTCAAAGTCTGGGAGGATTTGTCTTGGATCTTGCATAGCAGCTCTTGGGGTAAAACCTCCAGCTTGCTTCTTGTTTAAAAGTTGTGTATTTCTTCCCAGAGCTTCATTAAACATCACTTGCAAGCCTTCATTTTTTTTCTTCTCATCACGGTAATTTCTTGCATTTTTATCATTTCTGCACTTTTCTCCTCTTGCATTTGTTTCATCCTGTTCTCCAGATCTTGTTTTTCCTTGCAACAATTTTTAAATGCTCTTCTGAGGGCTTTAAATTCACTTAAGTGAGCAGTGCTGGGGTGATCCCTTTGGCTTGAGTGATGTTGTCTCTGAGACATCTTGGTACCTCGATACAGCGACACTGTACAAGATCCAGATGTTTCCAAAGTCTTTTGTGGTCGATGCCGAATGTTTGACAGCTACGAACAAAGCTGTGAACAAACTGATGTGTTGCCTTTAAGTTTCTCTTGCTCGCTTATGAGTTATGAAGCTGTGTGATGCGCACAGCTTCATAACAAAGCTCCTTAACAAAGTACTATTTGTTAAGGACTTTTATTTATTTATCTATTTATTTTATTTTTATTTATGTAATCATTAGTTTATTTCATCATTTTATAATCTGCTTTCATTCAAATCTCTATAAAATCCCAGCGCTTCATTAATGTATCAGTCACTTGAAGTATTCTTTATTTTTTTACTCTTTATTAATTAAGAGCAGTATCCGGATTACAACCAGTAAAACTGGACTCTTTACCATTTAGTGTTAGAACTGAAGAAGCGTCTCACATGAGAGGTGAAACATTTTCAAGAATCTTATCTTATCTTATCTTATTTAGGCAGCATTTGTGTTCTGTCTGAAAAGCACACTGATAACATGTGCTGACACAAAGACCGATAACTTTGCCAAGTAACCTCAATGTTCTGCCTCGTTGCACAATATTAATTGCATGTCTGTTTAAATGAAAGCAAGGATGAATGAATAAAAGTGCCCCTGTGCCTTTATAAACAGATTGTTGCATTCCTTTCAGATCATCGTGCCCCACAAAAGAGGATAACGTCACATAAAAGCCTGACTGAGGGGAAATCTTTGCACGAATCACAGATTTCTGGATTGCAGTGTCAGCCACCTATCATTGTGTTTTTCCTGAGATCATGTGATAAATAAGGGGGGACAAGGTTGGGGGGGTAAGCACTGAGAAAAGCACTTGGACCACACAAGGCTAGCTGGACACAAGTGTGTGAGTGAGTAAACGCTGCTGCCAGTGGCCTGAAATTAAGGTAAGAAAGTGTTGTTTTTATTCACCTGTCATTTATTTGAAAAGGGAAAGACTGGCACCGATTCCAGTGTTTTAGTGTTGGACTGTGTTGTTGTGTGTATAAGACTTGTTTTTTT